GAGTCGTATATAGTTTTGGGTTGAACAAAGTTGTTGTTAGAATATTTAGTTACGTATTTGTGTTGAATTTTATTAAATAATGGTTTGAAGATATTTGGTATTGAATTGTTATTAATTTTATACATAAAAATCAGAAGATGATATATATTTATTTGGTACACATTTAGTATTTTTAGATTGTTAAACAATGGTCTTGAATGTGAGAGGCGGTGTGCATTTGATAAGGCGGTGTGCATTTGATAAGGCGGTGTGCATACAGATCATTTTCAAAATTGACCAAATTTTATTTTAAAAGATTAGAAAAATTAAATTTCTGGTCTTTGTCCAACTCTGTCCAATTCTATTCAAACTTTAAAGTATTGATTAAGAATCACTTAACCATTTTTGCTTAAAACTATACCCCCTACATCCCCCTTTCAAAGTTAAACCAATTCATTCAGCTGGTATGCCATGGCAATCCTAAATTTGCTCCGCATCCTAAATTGCGCGGCAAATTTATGCACGTTCCCGTAAATTTTGGCGGCAAAATTTACACGAAATATTTAAAATTTAAATAAAAAACTACAAAGACATAACTTTTCCTTAGAATATTGTTCATAAAAAGTTGGGTATTCATTGGAAAACCTATTATTTAAGCTATGCAATTAACAGTTTAATTAATTGTTCAGCACTAAATTTCTACAACCTCGACAACAATGTTTTAATTTGAGACATCATCTATGGTTAAAAGGTTAGAATTTTTATCTTATTCATTTTTTCTTATATTTTTATTAGCATTAAAAGAATTAAAGAACAATTTCAGGCAAATTATTTACAGCTCTCTCTTGGTTGCAAATATTTCATGCTACTCAAACAAAATGTGAATGTACAATTTTCATTTGACAGTAAATGCAAAAAAACATGCTTAAAAGCTTTTATAATTTTTCTTTCAAATGTCCTTGCCACAAAAAGGCACTGAGTTGATTGAAATCAAAAATGGGGACATTTGTCAAGTGAATTTTGAAAGAGAGTAATGTTGCCATTACGAACAGAAATGCTCAATTTGAAGTTATTCAAGAACATATTTTTTCTGTACTCAGAGCCTCCAACATCTGCAGAATTGATTTCCGTCACTTGGAACCAAAAATCAACTCCTTTTTGTCTCACGTCATTGCAAGGTACCGAAAATCCAACTACTGTTTTAAAAAATTCATGAAAAGCAGTGCTTCATTTCTTGATAACACTTTCATCTCAAAAGAAAGCCTTAACAGCTCAACATCAGAGAGTGAAGCTAGCTCATCTTGATCAACGTTGCCTATAAAAAAGCAAAAAGTTGGAAGGAAAAGTAAGCTATTCATTTCACTCCCATGCCTGGGTCTTTGAACTTTGGAGCATCAGTTTTTCATTTTGGCTTGGGAGCTTTTGATAGCCTTTGTCACATTGGCTATAGGGAGAACATCAAAAAATGTTGAAAGCATTTGACACCAGAGGAGAAAGCAAACATTGCAACTACACTAGAACATGTGAAGACACAATTTACAGGAAAATTAGGCACTATTGTTGATAAAAGACGGAATGGCGATGCCGGAACATCCACAACTGGCAATGTTGTCCGTAGTGCCTTTGACAACCCTGCCAAAACTGCCAGCAAGGATTGTTTCTTTACTTGAGTGTTCTGAACCAACCACACCACCACCAACCACACTAGTCCCCACGCTTTAGTGATGATAGTGATTCAGATTAAGTTTTTGGACATTTGAAATTATTTTTAATTTAAAAATAGTATAAAATTCTTGTGTATATGAAAACAACTTATTAAATTCATTATTTTTCTAACTTTTTCGTGTGATAAATATGTTTTCATTGTTATTCCAAGTCAAAAATATGACAAAGGCTATCAAAAGCTCCCAAGCCAAAATGCAAAAGATTAAGTTTTTGGACATTTGAAATTATTTTTAATTTAAAAATAGTATAAAATTTTTTTGTATATGAAAACAACTTATTAAATTCATTATTTTTCTAAATTTTTCGTGTGATAAATATGTTTTCATTGTTATTCCAAGTCAAAAAAAATTTCAAGTTATCTAAAGTGAAATGAATTGAACTTAAACTTCATGAAATTCTTGTGGAAATGGTTACAACTTAATGTAGTTAATTATTTTTTCACTATTTTGTGATAATGATGTTTTCAATGTTATTCTATTATTAAAACTATTACATTTTAAGTTGTCAAAAGTGTTAAAAACCAAATAAATTTTTTATTCATTTGAAATGTTTCATGCTTAATATTTTATATTATTACCAATTTTAACTGTTTTGGAAAGGAAACACAATTAATTCGCAATTTCAAGCATTTCTGACCACTGTGTATTGAATAATTTGGCGATGATTGCTTACAGCTGTACAATCAGCATTTTTATGCTGAAAACAAAACTTTCTGTTTGTAAAGATAAGATCAGAACAGAAAGGGTTGATAACTGATTGAAAAAAAGTTAGTGATTGTATTAAATTACTTGATCGGTAAAGTTCTATGAATCCTTCCCTAGAATTATTATGAATAATTTGTTAAATTCTTTTTGTGCAGAATCTATGAGATTCTGTAAAAAAAAGACATTATTTTTACAGACCAGTTAGGAGTAAATTCACATAGTTTTAGTATTATTATATTTTGCTGTGATAATACTAAGTGTATCTTAATAGTTTTTACTTAGTGTTAACACTAGATGTATATTTATAAAAATGTCATTTATTCACATTTCCTATTTTGTCAAAATAGTTTTAGATGAGTGAGCTTAATTAAAGTTTAAATCATGTCCGTCAGAATCTATGATATTCTGTAAAAAATGGGCATGTTGTTTTTATAGACCAGTTATGAGTTATTTCATTAAATTTTTTTTTTCTGAGGTAACACTAAGTGTTTCTTAATAGTTAATAAACATTTAGCGTTAATACTAGGTGTACATTTATAAAAATTTCATATATTCACATTTCATATTTTGTCAAAATAATTGTTGCTGAGGTTTATTGATGTTTAAATCATGTCCGAAGGAAAAATAAAGGTTGTAAAGGATGTAATTTGGATGTAAAGTTGAAAACAACGATGTTGTACAATAATTTACGCTATAAACTTTAAGGAATAAAAGTTTCATACGTTTTCTTCAGAAAATAATTTAAAAAAAAAATTGAAATTTTTGCTTTGGTTGCTCCAAACAGATGTTTGCAATAGATGCAAATAATTACGCAGCAAAAATAATGAGCAAAAACAAGAATGAAAAAAATGAAAATAAAAACAAAAACAAAAATGAAAACCCTAAAAAGGAGCTGTCTTAGAATTAATGGTCCACAAAAAGAGAGCCAAAAATTTTTACCAAGAAACAGATGATCTAACTGCTGTATTGTCCTTCGACTTTCCAAACATTCCTGTACATTCCAAATATTTTTGTACAGGAAATATTTTAGATTAGACAGCTATGGATTTTACATTTTGAACAAGAGAATGGATAAATGCTTAATAATTTTGATATGGTCGATTTCACCTACATTTCAACTGCTTTGCCAATAGAAAACACATATCCATTTGGTAAAGTGCCTATCAATAGTAAAAAAGTTGCTGATTTGAAAAAGCTTTATAAATATGTTGTTGAGTACAAGAAATTTTGTAATAATATTTTTAAGTGGCCAACTAAATTATGCCAAGATAATTGGTACGCCAGAAGACGAAGGACAAAAGAATTACCATAATGTAAATCCTCAACTTGGAACGCCAGATGTTGCTTTCATTTTATAAAACTTTTAATGTATAAGTTTCATTTCATTGCTATAAAAGTAATTGCGAAACGACCACGGGAAATTACTGTTGCTCTAAAGTTGTTGCATTGCCTTTAATCAAAATCATTCAACCTATGATAGGCAGATGACTCTTCTTGGCGATGAAACAGAATATTTTGCAAAGCAAATAATTATAGCAAAGTCGCAATGAACCTGGATATGCAGTTTTTTTCAATCAGTTCTTTAAACATAATCTTGAAGTGAATATCTTTAACCTTGAACTTTGTCATTTAACAAATTTAATGTAAAATTTAAAAACTATTTTGTTATAACAAAAGTTAGTTTTTACCAATTCTTGATCTTTTAACCAGATGAATGAAAACCGTAGGATAAGATTCTTATTCATCTGGTTAAAAGATCAAGAATCGGTGAAAACCAAATTTTGAAATAGAAGACAACTTTATGAAATATATTTTGCATCTTAATAGTTTAAATTAGCCTTCATATTTTATTTTGGAAACACTTTAGGCTTTCTTAACCAAACATACTCAAAGGGACTATAGCGTTATTTCAAATCTATATAAGTTCTTATTCGCATTTTTTTAACGCAACACTAGTACCTGTTGCAGAAGGTAAACGACGTTTAAGTAAACTAAAAATGGTTTTAAAGATGATCTTAGAGCCACTAAAAAACAAATGATTTGAGGAAGATTATCGGACATAGATGTTGAAAATGAATTGGATACAACTTTGTCGTAAGCTAACATGATAATAATAACAATTTTCACTAGTATATTAGCACAAAAAAAAAAAAAGACTTTTTAATATTAATTTCAAAGAACCTGTGTTATTTAATACAAATTAGATTAAAATTTTACTAAAAATATAAGTAAACAGTATTTGAATAAAAATACAGTCACTAACTTTTATAAATGTACATATCTCTATTTTAAAAACATACGTGCTTACATTTTTAAAATAAAATAATAATTCAATTGAGTCAAAAAATTGGTATAGTCGGTTGAGTAGTTTTTGCGTAATTAACAATTAAAGGATGCTGAAATTCATTGTGTTCAACCGATAGCAATTATTGTTCAAATTGAATAAAAATTTTTAAGTAATACACTTGTTTTTAGTAGTTTATCATATAAATATCTGGAGTAACAATGTATGTGTGTAAAGTAAAAACACACGCGCGCGAACGCACTAAGGTATAATTTGTGCTTAAAAAAAAAAGTTAAAAATACACTTAC